GGGTTATATCCTCTTGTTGTATCGATCCTTTTAGTATTATGAAGTGGCCTTCCTTATCTCTTGTTATGGCTTTCAGTTTGAGTTCCATTTTGTCAGATATAAGTATTGCTACCCCAGCTTTTTTTTTCATTTCTATTTGCCTGAAAAATATTTTTCCATCCTTTCACTGTAAATCTGTTTTAGTCTCTTGTTCTGAGGTGGGTCTCTTGTAGACAGCATATATATGGTCATGTTTTTATATCCATTCAGCCACTCAATGTCTGTTTTTTGGAGCTTGTAGTCTGTATATGTTTAAAGTTATTACTGAAAGGTATTCATTTGTAGTCGCATCTATTTTTGTGTCTGTGTTCCTTCTTACCTGTTTATTTCTTCTTTTTACAGTATTCCCTTTAACATTTCTTACATTACTGGTTTGGTGGTAATACACTCCCTTAGTTTTTTGTTTGTTTGTTTGTTTGTTTGTTTGTCTGCAAAGCTCCTGATTTCCCCTTCAATTTTGATTGATAGTCTTGTTGGGTAGAGTATTCTTGGATTCAGTCCCTTGCTTTCCGACACTTTGTAAACTACCTTCCATTCCCTTCTAGCTTGTTGTGTTTCTGTTGAGAAATCATTTGATAATCTGATGGGGGTCCTTTGTAGGTAACTCTCTGTCTCACTCTTGCAGCCTTTAAGATTTTCTCTTTGTCATTAACATTTGCCATTGTAATTGTGACGTGTCTTGGTGTGTGTCTTTTAGGATTCTTCTTGCTTGGATACTCTCTGTACTTGTGTAAGTTTTTTTCTTCCCCATATCTGGGGAGTTTTCTGTCATCATTTCTTCAAATAGATTTTCTAATCCTTGCTGCTCCTTTTGTTCTTCTTGCAGCCCTAATATGTATGTTACTTCATTTTATGTTGTCCCAAAGCTCCCTTAGGCTTTCATCCTGCTTTTTATTTTTCCCCCCTCCAATTCCTGCTCAAATTATCCTTGTTTCTGCACCTGATCTTCTAACTCACTAATTTGGTCCTCTGCTTCTTCTAGTCTACTGTTGAAACTTTCCATGGTGTTTCTGATCATAGCTATATCACTTTTCATTTCTTCCTGATTGTTATATGAGTTTTTATTTTTTCCTCATCCATCCGATGTATAAATTCCACAACCATTACTCTGAACTCTTTTTCGGTCATGTTGCATGCTTCAATTTCACTAATTTCCTTTATTGGTGACTCTTCATTTTCTTTCCTCTAGGGATTGTGTCGTCTCCACATTCTGACTATCAGCAGAAGGTTCAAGCTTCAATTTGCATGGACCTGGGCCATGTGCCATGGGAACTTAGCACCACCCAAGTTTCACTGATGTGTTCTTACACTAGGACATGTGGCTGCCGTGGGTTGGTGGGAACTAGGCTTGCCCAGGGTCAGTGTTCTCAGTGTTCAGTATGGTTTCATGTACACACTTCGAATCAGGCACCCTGCCTGCACCACACTGTTGGCGTGTGCTGAAAATGATTCCCCTAGTGCATGCCAGGAGTCATAGTTTCCATGTATCTGCACCAGGAATCGAGTGTCCAAGTCTCTCTTGCCTTGTGTGGCTTCTCGCTGAGAATCAGGGTCCCTGTGCGTGCATGTACCAAGAATTGGAGTCACTGGCTCCTAGGGTGAATGCGCTGTGAGTCAGAGATCCCAGTCAGAGATCCTAGGTAAGAAACAGAGTCAAGTCGGTGGTCCTCATTGCTGTCTCTTGTGGGGAGAATTTGGGTCCCAGTTACCATGGGGTACTGGGTTGCACAATAGCTCTGTGGTGTGCTTGCATTGGGGAAAGCTGACTTCCATGTGCGCTTGTCCAGAATTAAAGTCAGGTGGCACTGCTGCCCTGTGTGAGGTTCAGGTTTGGTCGCCCAATTGCATTGTGGGGAGCAGATTCCAGTCTCTCAAATTCCAGTAGCTTCATTGGGGTCTTTGCTCACTCTCTTTACTGAGCCAAACTGGCTAGGGCTTCATGCACTCTCAAATTCCCCAAAGGGGAGCTACGTCCAGTGCCCTCAAATTCCCTAAAGAGACATTGCAGCTTGGGCGAGAGGCAGGTCTATCAGTTACTACAGTGTTATCCTTGAGCCTGCGGGGTTGAGGCGGGGAGGGGGGAGGAGATAGGCTCTTTGACTCACAGTAATCTGCTGTCGGGAAGTCTGGATTCTTGTTGTCTGTTGGTCTGAAGCTGTGGTCGAAGTTCTCTGTCCCCAGTGGTGCAGGGTCCTGGTTTTGTCTGAGACCAGGATCCTAGTCTCAAGCAGCTCTGTTTCTCAAGATGGCATGGTCTCCATGCCAGCATCAGCCTCCCAGAAGTATTTGCTTTGTGCGCGGGGCTCTGCCATCTAAGACTGCCCAGTTTGGCAGTCCCTTGGAGGACCTGCAGAATCTAACTGTCCCTAGCTTATACACACACACACACACACACACACACACACACACACACACACACACCACACATCTACACTCTCTTCTATGGGTTCCTCACTCTTGCACACTCTCTCCTTCCCTACCTTCCTGCCAGGCGCCATCTTAATCTGATAAAAACAATTGTGAATGATAAAAAAAAATGTTGGAGAACTCACAGTTAATGATTTCAAAACTTACTAAAAATCTATAATAATTATGGAAGTGTGGTAAAATAGACATTGAGATCAATGGGATAGAACTGAAAGTCCAGAAATAATCCTTTGTACTTATCATCAATTGATTTTCAACAACAGTGCCAAGACTAATCAGTGGTGGGAAAGAAGAGTGATTTCAATAAATGATGCTGGGTCAACTAGAAATCTACATACAGAAGAATGAAGTTGGACCCCTACTTCACAACATATACACAAATTTATTCCAGATGGATCAGTAACCTGAATGTAAGAGCAAAAACTGTAAATAAACTCTTATAAGAAAACCTAAGAGTTGATCTCTAGCCTCACATTAGACAAAGCCTTCTTCGATATGACACCAAAGGCAAAAATGATCAAATAAAACATAGGTAAGTTGGACTTCATGAAAATTAAACACTTTTGCTTCAAAGTATATCATTAAGAATATGAAAAGATACAGAGTGAGAGAAAATATTTGCAAATCTTTAAGGGACTTTATCTAGAATATATAAAGAATTCTTACAACTCAACAATAAAAATCAAATTTAGCAAATGATTTGAATAAAATAATTTCCACAGATGGTCAATGTAAAAACTGCTCAATATATTTGCCACCATGGAAATGCAAATCAAAACCACAATGAGATACCACTTCATAAGATGGTTATAAAAAAAAAAAAAGACAGATAACTGTTGGTGAGGATGTGGAAAAATTGGAATATTCACCCACAGCTATTTGGGATGTAAAAGGTAGCCCTACTGTGGAAAACATTCTGGTGGTTTCTCAAGCAATTCAACAAAGAGTTACTATATAACCTGGCAATTCCAATCCTAGCTATATACACAAGAGAAATGGAAGCATATATCCACAAAAAAACTTGTATGCAAATGTTCATACAGCAGTATTCACAATAACCCAAAAAGTAAACAATCAAAATGTTTAATAATTGATGAAGGGATACATAAGGCATGGAATATCATCTTACCTAATAAAAGAGTAATATGCAAATTAACCATCATTCCAGTACAGCCACCAGCCACTCCCACCAGCCAATCAGAGAGAGTATGCAAATAAACAACCAAGATGGCTACAGCCACAGAGAGCAAGAGGGAGGTTTGGGTTTCCCAGGCAATGGAGGAAGCCAAGCTTTCCACCTGCCCTAGCCAGCCTAGGCCTCCACTCCAGGCTACAAAGTTTCAATTATAGAAGATAAATGAATTCCAAAAGAAAAGGCTGCTGCCCCGGAGCAAGCAGGAGGCTTGGCTCCGCTCCAGGCTACAAAGTTTCAATTGTAGAAGGTAAATAAATTCCAGATACCAAGGCCTCCGCTTGGGTTGCTGGGGGGCATGGCTGGCATGCAAACCATGATAGGCCCCTCTCCCAGACCGCCCTACTCCCCAAGGTAACCCCCACCCTGATCTTGGACACCCTTCAGGGCAAACAAGCTGGCCCCCACCTGTGCACCAGGCCTCTATCCTATCTAATAAAAGAGTAATATGCAGAATGACCATCACTCCAGCACACAAGATGGCTGCCCCCATGTGGTCAAAGATCCTGCCCCCACGTGGACAAAAGATGGCCACCACAATATGGCCAGCAGAGTAGGGCAGTTGGGAGGCACCAGGCTGCAAGGAAGGGAAATTTGGGGTGGTCAACCCTGCAGAAGAGGACAGTTAGGAGTTACCAGGTTGGCAGTTAGGAGTTACCAGATTGGTAGAGGAGGAAAGTTGAGGGCCAACAGGCTGGCAGGGGAGCAGTTAGACACCAATCAGGCTTGCATAGGAGTGGTTAGGGGGTGATCAGGCTGGCAGGCAGAAGTGGTTAGGGGCAATCAGGAAAGCAGGCAGGCAAGCAGTTGGGAGCCAGCAGTCCTGGATTGTGAGAGGAATGTCCCCCATTGGAGAGGGTGCAGGATGGGCTGAGGGACACCCCCCACTCCCATGCACAAATTTCGTATACCGGGCCTCTAGTCTTGCCATAAAAAGGAACAAAGTACTGATAGATACTACAAAATGAATGAACCTTGAAAACATTATGTTAAGTGAAAGAAACTAGGCATAAAAGGTCATGTATATATGGTGTTCCCCCAAAAATGTATATACACAACTTTAATAATTATAAAGGCAGTGTTTATTAAAATACATTTCATTTTCAAAATTGAGCTGTCAGCTTTTAGTTTATTTTTTTTAACAGTTTATAGTTTATTTCATAATCATAAACTTAACTCTGCAATCCAGCTAGACTGGGAAAGGGTAAGGAAATGATGGAACCCAATAAACTGGCAAGAGCACATAGATTATGGAACATTCCAAGCAAATTGGGGTGAAGGGGTGCTCTCCTGAGCTACAGAAGGAATGGTCTGGTGGTGAAGATAAAACACGTCAGATTTGTTAGAGTTGCCCACAGTCAGCCATGGTGATCTTCTTGCTGGTCTTGCCATTCCTGGACCCAAAGCGCTCCATGGCCGTCACAATATCCATGCCTTCTTTCACCTGGCCGAAGACCACATGCTTGCCATCCAACCATTTGGTCTTGGCAGTGCAGATGAAAAACTGGGAGCCGTTTGTATTGGGCCCAGCATTTGCCATGGATAGGATGCCAGGGCCTGTGTGTTTCAGGATGAAGTTCTCGTCCGCAAACTTCTCCCCATAGATGGACTTGCCGCCTGTGCCATTATGGCGTGTGAAGTCACCACCCTGGCACATAAATCCCGGAATAATTCTGTGAAAGCAAGAACCTTTATAACCAAATCCTTTCTACCCAGTTGTCAGTGCACGGAAGTTCTCTGCTGTCTTTGGAACTTTGTCTGCAAACAGCTCGAAGGAGATGCGGCCCAAGGGCTCGCCATCGACGGCGCTGTTGAAGAACACGATCGGGTTCACCATGGCTGATGACGGGAGGCTTCGGGGTGGCAGCGTCTGCAAAGCCAGCTTTTAGTTTATATACATTTATTGGGACACCCTGTATATGAAACTTCCATTTATATAAAATTTCCAGAATAGATTTGTTATTGCCTAGAGCTGGAGGGGTAACAAGAACCCTCTCCATTACCAAACTTTAGTCACAATCCTCTAAGCCCCTTTCTAGAGTAGGCCTTGTCCATGGGCCCTGTTGTCAAGACTGCAGAGCCCAGTTTTTAGAAGAATCCTGCTAAGTCAATTTAGTGAGAATCCCCCACTCTCAATATCTGATCACCTCCATATCAAATTCTTTATCTCCTTCCATTCCCTAGGTGATATCTGATTGCCTTAGCCCAGTGGTCAGCAAACCATGTCTCACATGCCACATGCAACTCTTAGGCCCCTTGAGTATGGCTCAGCATTAGAACCACTTCTTCCAAATAGATTTGCTCAAGCTGAAAAGCGCCTTCTGCACATGGGTCACAAAGTTTCAATTGCACTGTATGCTGACATGTGGTATTTTGTGAAAGAGCCACACTCAAGGGGCCAAAGAGCCACACATGGCTAGAGAGCTGTGGTTTGCTGACCACTTCCCTAGCCTATCTTCAGCAAGAACCCTGTTAGGGCAGTTTAGCAAGAATCCCCTTCCTTTTGTTTTTCTGGTTGGGTGATTTTTGTTTCCTCATATTTCAGATCTTTGGTTTGATTCTTGGGGTCCTTTGATCTACAGTTGAGTTTCTGTATATTCTTTATTTCAGACAGTGTATGTTTAACTTCTGACTGGTCCTTTTCCATTTGTTTAGCATTCTCATTAAGGTCCTTAAAGGTCTCACTAAGCTCTTCAGAGGTCTCATCAAATTTCTCGGCGGTTTTTAGAATATTCTTGAGTAACCTTATAAATGTGGTTTTGAACTCTATATCCATTAGTTTGCTTTTCTTCATTTCTTTCATTTGTGACATGTTTCTTTGTCTCTGCATTTTGCTGCTTCCCTGTGTTGATGGAGTGGAAGAACTCTGTGCTGGAGACACACTTATGGAGCAGGACTTGCTTCAGTGGGGCTTTGGTGCTCACTGAGCAAAAAAAAAAAAAAAAAAAAAAAAAGAAAGAAAGAGAAAAGAATCCAAAAATATGAAGGCAGTGTAAGGGACAACTTTAAGTGTACCAACATCCAAATTATTGGGGTGCCAGAAGAAGAGAGAGAGCAAAATATTGAAAACCTATTAGAAAAAATAATGACAAAAAACTTTCCCCGCCTGATGAAATAATAGACTTACAAGTCCCAGGAAGCACAGAGAACCCCAAACAAGAGGAATCCAAAGAGGACCACACCAAGACACATTATAATTAAAATGCCAAGGGCAAAAGACAAAGAGAGAATCTTAAAAGCAGCAAGAGAAAAACAGTTACCTACAAGGGAGTGCCCATACAACTGTTGGCTGATTTCTCAACAGAAAATATGCAGGCTAGAAGGGAGTGCCATGAAATATTCAAAGTGATGAACAGTAAGAACCTACAACCAAGATTACTCTACCCAGTAAAGTTAGCATTCAGAATTGAAGGTCAGATAAAAAGCTTCACAGATATGAAAAAACTAAAGGAGTTCATCACCACCAAACGAGGATTATATAAAATGCTGAAGGGCATTCTTTAAGAAGAGGAAGAAGAAAAAAAGGTAAAGATAAAAATTATGAACAAAATGACAACAAATACGTACCTACCAACAAGTGAATCTAAAAATAAAGTGAATAAAAAATCTGATGAACAGAATGGACTGATGAATATAATAGAATCAGGGATATAGACAGGGAGTGGACTGGCAATTCTCAGGGGGAATGGAATGTTAGGGATGCTGGAAGAGATTGGATAAAAATCTTACATATATGGATGAAGACAGTGGTGGGGGGTAAGGGCATGGGGTGAGGTGGGGAATCAGATGGAGGGGAGCTATGGGGGGGGGAAGAGGAACACCTGTAATAATCTGAACAATAAAGACTTATAAAAAAAAAAGAATTTCCCTTCCTCTGATGTCTCCTCTTAGTAATTTTCCATAAACCAAACCCCTCCCCAACCTGTTCTTTGGCTATAAATCCCCACTATTCTTGCTATATTTGGAATTGATCCAAGTTCTGTAATGAGATCTCTTCCCTATTGCAATAGTTCCTGAATAAAATCTGTTTTTACCACTTTATCTGCTGTCAGGCTCTTATTTTCTTTAACATGGTTTGAGGTGAGAATGGCGAGTGATTGCTAGTGGGTATGGAGGGTTTTTTTATGGGGATGAAAATATTGTAGAATTGATGGTGATGATTGTTGCAAAACTCTGTGTACACACAAAATCATTTAATAGTATACTTTAAATAGATGAATTGTCTAGTATGTACATTATATCTAATATAAATGCTAACAAATTGGCAGTGTCTGGATTTGAACCCAGATCTAGCTAACTCTCAGGAGGTGATTGATAAATGAACTGCTATCATTAAGGCTACTGTTCTGATTACTTAGTGGGGGAAGAGTTTATGCCTAAGAAGGACACCTTGGAAACACTTGGAAGTTCATGGCCTTGAGCAGCAACCACCACAGCCTGAAGCAGTTTTAGACTGCCCTAAAGCAGGCCTGTATCCCCAGGGATTCTATTGTCAGATTCTAACTACAAGAGGAAGCCAGGACTGCTGACTGACACCCATCAGCCTAGGGGACACAGAGCTTTCCAGTGACTTCCCATTTTGGGACCTGGGAAACACCACTGGATTTGGTCTGCAGTTTACAGGCCTATCAGGACCATGCCGAAACCGGTTTGGCTCAGTGGATAGAGCATCAGCCTGCAGACTGAATGGTCTCGGGTTCGATTCCGGTCAAGGGCATGTACCTGGGTTGCGGGCACATCCCCAGTCGGAGGTGTGCAGGAGGCAGCTGATTGATGATTCTCTCTCATTGATGTTTCTAACTCTCTATCCCTCTCCTTTCCTCTCTGTAAAAAAAATCAATAAAATATATTTAAAAACAAAACAAACAAACAAACAAACAAAATAACAACAACAAGCCTATCAGGACCAGATGCAGGCCAGCTCCTATGAAGCCAAGGGAAAGAGAAAAAGCTGCTCCTGAGCAACCAGGGACACATGCTATGCAAAAAACAAAAACAAAAACAAAAAAAACTTGTCCCCTTCCCCTCAAATCATTTCACCATTCTTACAAGACAACCTTTCTGCAAAAATGATCCTTCCAATCCCCAACACAGGATCCCCTTGGCCTTGGGTCCCTTGAAACTAGAGCTACTATTGATTCAGTGCATACTATGTGCCAGATACTGCGCTAAATTCTTATAACTATTATCTCATCGAATCTTCCACGCCATCATCAGAGACAGATGACCACATGTTGCAGACAAAAAACCTAAGACACAAGAGGTTAAGTACCTTGTCCAAGTTTGCATAACTTAGGGATGTGGGAGAATTGGACTTTGACATCTGGCAGTCTGGCTTCAGCCACTTCTCTAGCATTTGTCTCTCTGACCGGGTACCTACTAGTAGTCTTATTTGTTTATTTTCTTCTTAGGCACCATTGCTCTGGGAGCTGTGTCTTTAAAGATATTGCTATGACATATGTCTTCTATTATAGGTTCCCTCAGGAGTCTGGCAGCCTCACATTCCCACCAGCAGTGAAGAAAGATTCCTTTTTCTCCCCATCCTCTCCAGCCCTTGTCATTTGTTGATTTGTTAATGATAGATATTCTGACAGGTGTGAGGTGGTACTTTATTGTTGTTTTGATTTGCATCTCTCAGATGATTAGTGACTTTGAGCATATTTTCATGTGTCTCTTGGATTTCTGAATGTCCTCTTTTGAAAAGTGTATATTGTCCCAAAGTTGTTTTATGCTCTCCTCCAATTTTTTAAGTGTTTTTTCCAGTTGCTGCTCTGCTTGGGTATTTTTTCCTACCTTTATTTATAGCTCACTGATGTGGTCCTCCACTTCTCCTAGTCTAGTGTTGATACTTTCTGTTGTATTCTTTATTGCAACTATGTCATTCTTCATTTTTTCTTGGTTCTTCTTCATTTTCCTATTGGTTCTTACACATGTTGTTTCTCTTAATTCTTTCTCTGAAAAATTGCTTGCCTCCATTTTGTTTACTTCCTTTTCTAGTGATTCCTCTTTTACTTCATATGGGGGCTGTTTCTTTGTCTCCCCATGTTCACTCATCTCAGGGTGTCTGGTTATGTAGCTCACTCTCTACCATGTTGACTTAAAATCATAAAATAAGATAAAAGACAGGGCATCAAACATGAATGTATTCTCAATACCAGTAACCCCAAATAAAGGTGACTACCAGAGAAAAGAGAATTAGGGGAGAGAAAAGAATGCAAAATTATATTGAGAAAAGGATAAAATGTAGGGGAGAAAAGATAAAAGGGGGAAATATATATTTATGGGAATAAAACTAAAAAACAAACAAACAAACAAAAAACAAACAACAACAACTAATCCAAAAATGCAAACACTCAGAAAAAAAGGAGGGAAGATGAACCTAAAGAGGCTTATTTCCAGAAGGTAAGGTCAAGGAATTAAATGAATGGGGAAATGGCTATGATTCAGTATAGAAGACGTAGAAAGAGAATGAGTGTATAAGAAGAAAAGTAAAAAACAAAAACTAAAAAAAAGAAAAATATATGTATGTATACATTTCCCCCCTTTCTTTAATCTATCTATGTGTTCATCTGTTTTAGGGAAACGAAAATAGAGAGTAGATAGGCCTGAGTTGGTGATTAAAATTAGTTGGTTGAAGAAAAGAACAAGAGAGGAGAA